CAGTCTTCCACACAGGTACAGGGGCCGAAGGATTTAGGCCATCTTATACTGCTTTTCCAGGCCATTGCAGAGAGCTGGATGGGAAGTGGAGCAACCAGGACTTGAATTGGTGCTCATGTGGGATGCCAGCACTGCAGGCAGCAGCTCTATCTGCTACGCCACAGTGCCGGCCCCACAACATATTTTTGCCTGATTTTACATTGTAAGACAATTTTGTTGAAGCATACACTGCAATATGATACAGTATAATGATATGGAAGCAATTATAGAATTCAGGGAGAAAAAAAAACACAGAATAAAATACATTTTCCACATGCTTTTAGTGTCACCAGAATTATGCAGAAAATATAACAGTAGGTTTTAGATGAGCTATTACAATGCTTGACATAGATATTCAGCAGAAAGAACGCATATGTCTGATTTGCAGACAACCAAACTGCACATGCAATCTCTAAATGATTACAGGAAAGGATGGAACTGAAACTCAACAGCTTCTCCATTCTGAGAAGACTGCACAAATTGTCGAAATTGGATCACTAGGTGTTGTGATGGCTGATTGTATATATTGACATGACTGCGTCATAATGACCAAATATTTGTCCAAACATTATTTTGGATATTTCCAGGAGGATGATTTTCGGATGAGAGTAAGATTTCAATTAGTAGACTTTTGCGTAAAGCAGATTTTCCCCTCAGTACAGTGGATGGACCTTCTCAAATCAAAGACCTTAACAGAAAAAAGTGTGGCCTCTCCCATAGAAGATGTTTTTTTTTTACTTTTTTATTTTTTATTATTGCATTTATTTAAGTTGAACAGATTTCAAGTATTTAATATATACATATATAGAAGCATAGGAAGTCTTCCCATCCTACCCTCTCTCCCACCCAAGCTCCCACTCAAACTCCCACCCTAACTCCTCCTACTTCTCCCATTCCTTCCTTTTTATACTGATCTACACTTAGTCTGTTTTATATGCATAAGATTAACTGTATACTATGTAAAGAATTGAACAAATAGTAAGAAGACAAAACACATTCCTCAACAGTAGAGAAAAGGGCTATAAGCAATCATCAGATCTCAAAATGTCAATTTGATTTCTGTACATTAGTTTTTTGGCACTCTGTTAGTTACCACAGATCAGAGTAAAGACATTTCTCTTTTGGGATTGGCTTATTCCACTAGGTATAATGTTTTCCAGTTGCATCTATTTTGTTTTAAAAAGACAGGATTTCATTCATCTTTAAAGCTGAGTAACATTCTGTATATATCATAATTTCTTTATCCAGTCATCAGTTGATGGACATTTGGGTTGATTCCATATCTTAGCTATTGTGACTTGAGCTCCAGTAAACATTGGGGTGTAGATAACTCTTTCATCTGCTTATTTAATTTCCCCTGGGTAAATTCTCAAAAGTGAGGTTGGTGGATCATAAATTATGTCTATATTAAGATTTCTGAGATGTCTTCATTCTGTCTTCCACAGTGGCTATGCTAGCTTACATTTCCACCAACAGTTGATTAAGGTACCTTTTTCCTCACATCCTTGCCAGAATTAATTGTTTGAAGATTTCTGTATGATAGCCATTCTAACTGGGCTGAGGTGAAACTTCATGGTGGTTTTTATTTGCATTTCCCTGATGGCTAGTTATCCTGAGCATTTTATCATGTGTCTGTTGGCCATTTGAATTTTCTGTTTTGAAAAATTACTGTTCAATTCCTTTGCCCATTTCTTAAATGGATTGTTTGCTATTGTTGAGTTTTTGAGCTCTTTGTAGATTCTGGATATTAGTCCTTTATTAGTTGCTAGTTTGCAAATATTTTCTTCCATTCTGTTTGTTAGTCTTCACTTTGTTGAATGTTTTCTTTGCAGGACAGAAGCTTCTCAGCTTGAAGCAATCCCATTTGTCTAGTTTGGCTTTGATTGCCTATGCTTCTGAGGTCTTTCCAAAAATTCTTTGCCTATAGCTGTATCTTTCAGAGTTTTCCCACTATGCTCCTTTAATAATTTGATGATATCAGATCATACATTTGAATCCTTGATTAGTTTTGTGTTGTTTATTTGTATAAGGTATAAGATAGGTGTCTTGTTTCATACTTCTTCATGCATAGATCTAATTTTCCCCAATACCACTTGTTGAACAGACTGTTCTTTTTCTGAGGATTGATTTGAACTCCTTTGTCAACTTTTAGTTGGTTGGTAATGTGTGGATTGATTTCTAGAGTTTCAGTTCTGTTCACTGGCCTACACATCTATTTTTTTTTTTTTTTTTTGCAAATACCAGGCTGTTTTGATTATAACTGTAGTATAGTATGTCTTGGAATGTGTGATCTGAAACCTCCAGCTTTGTTTTGTTTTATGAGATTGCTTTAGCTATTCGGAGTCTATTGTGTTTCCATGTGAATTTTAGCATTATTTTTTCTGGATCTTGTAAGAATGTCATTGGAATTTTAATTGGGATCACATTGAATCTTTAAATTACTGTTGTAATTAAGTTTTTTTTAAAGATTATATTTATTTATTTGAGAGGTAGAATTACAGACAGTGAGAGGTAAAGACAGAAAGGTCTTCCCTCCATTGGTTCACTCCCCAACCTGCCTCAACAGCCGGAGCTGCACAGATCCGAAGCCAGGAACTAGGAGCTTCTTCCTGATCTCCCTTGCAGGTGCAGGGATCAAGCACTTGGGCAATCTTCTACTGCTTTCCCAGGCTGTAGCAGAGAGCTGGATGGGAAGAGGAGCAGCTGGGACTAGAACTGGTGCCCATATGAGATGTTGGTACCACAGATGGAGGATTAACCTACTGCGTCATGGCACCAGCCTCGATTAAGATATTTTTATGATACTAATTCTGCCAATCCACAAACATGAAAGATTTTTTTCAGTTTTTGGTGTCTTCTATTTCTTTAATGTTTTGTAATTTTCATTATAGTGATCATTCTACTCCTTGGTTAGGTTTATTCCAAGGTATTCAATTTTTTTGTAGCTATTGTGAATGAGCCTGATCTTACAAGTTTTATCTCAGCCATGGCATTGTCTCTGTATAAAGGGATACTTATTTTTGTGTGCTAATTTTATATTCTGCAACTTTAATAAAATCTCTTTTAAAGAGATCCAATGATACCTTAGTGGAGTCTTTGATTTTTCTATGTATAGAATCATGTCATCTGCTAATAGGGATAACTTGACTTCCTCCTTTCCCTTGCATCCTTTGAATTTATTTCTTGCCTAATGGCTCTGGCTGAAACTTCCAGGACTTTATTGAATAGCAGTGATGAAAATGGGGGTCCTTGAGTGCTTCAGATAATTAGTGGAAGTGGAAGTGCTTCCTACTGTACCCCAGATGCTGGTTGTGAGTTTGTCATGAAATGTCTTGATTATGCTGAAGAATGTCCCTTCTATGTCCAGTTTGCTTAAGGTTTTTATCATTAAACATGTTGTAGTTTATCAAAATGCTTTCTCTGAATCTATTGGGATAATCATATGGATTTTATTCTTAAGTTTGTTCATGTGATATATCACATTTATTGATTTGCAAATGTTGAACCATTTCTTTATACCAGGGATAAATCCCAGTTAGTCCAGGTGAATGATCTTTCTGACATATTATTGAATTCGATTATCTAGTACTTTTTGGAGGATTTTTATATCTATATTAATCAGTGAAATTGATCTGCAGTACCCTTTCTTTGTTGTATCTTTTTCTGGTTTTGTAATTAAGTTGATGCAGTCTTTATCGAAGGAGGTAGGGAGGGCTCCCTCCCTTTCAGTTATTTTCTATGGCTTGACAAGAAATGGAATTTGTTTTTTTAAAGTCTAATAGAATTCAGCAGTGAAGCCATCTGGTCCTGGGATTTTCTTTTTTGGGAGTGTCTTTATTGCTGATTCAGCCTACATCTTGGCTATTAGCCTGTTTAGGTTTTCTGTCTTCATGCCTCAGTTCTGGTAGATGGTATGTGTCTAGGAATCTATCATTTCTTCTAGATTTTCTAATTTGTTGGCATATAGCTATTTATAGTAATTCCTGATGACTCCTTTTATTTCTGTGGTATCCCTTGTTACTTTCACTTTTTCATCTGATTTTGTTATTTTGGGTCTTCTCCCTTTTTTTGTTTCTTTTTGGTTAGTTGGGCCAGTGGTGTATCAATTTGGTTTATTTATTTAAAATCCAGCTCTTTATTCACTGATCTTTTGGTTGTTTCAATTTGTTTATTTCTTCTCTGATAATAATTATTGCTTTCCTCCTGCTAATTTTGGGTTTGTTGTGTTGTTTTTCTAAGTCCTTGAGATGCACTGAAATCTCATTTATTTGATGCCTTTCCAATTTCTTGATGTAGGTACCAATTGCTATAAACTTCCCTCTTAACACTGCTATTACTGAATCCCATGTTTTGATTTGTTGTATTGTCATCTTTGTTTATAGAGTTTTTTAATTTCTCTTTTTATTTCTTCTAAGACTCACTGTTCACTGTTCATTTAGGAGAGTGTTGTTCAGTTTCCATGTGTTTGCATATGTTCTCAAGATTCTTAAGTGTTAATTTCCAGTTTCATTACATTGTTGTCAAAAAAGATACAATATATAGTTTCAGTTTTTTTGAATTTGCTGAGAGTTGCTTTCTGACACAGCATTCTGACTATTATACAGAAAGTCCTACCTACACACTGATCAAAAGAAGCTCTGTGTGCTTCCTGTACTTGATTGTCCTTTTCTTTATCCAAATTAGGGAGGTTTTCTGTGATTATTTCACTGAATAAGTCCTCTAATCAATTCTATCTTTCCTTAACTTACAGCTGTGTGATGAAACATTCTTTACGTAACAGTTAGGTGCATTTGGTCCGTAGTTTTGATTAAGTCTGTTTTTCTTTGTTGATTTTCTATCTAGTTGACCTGTCCATTGATGAAACTGAGATATTGAAGTCCACTGTTAGTATTATATTTGAGTCTATGTCTTTGTTTAGATCCATTAACATTTCCTTTTTTTTTTTTTTTTTTTTTTGACAGGTAGAGTTAAACAGTGAGAGAGAGAGTGTGGGGAGCAACCGAGACTAGACTAAATTACTGGAACTAAGACTAATTCTATGCATCTGATCTCCCACCATATGGTGCTGAGAAGGAGTAAACAACTTCCACACAGCTGCCTCGCCAGTTCGACTGATAAACTGCAGGAGCTGATCCTGCTCCTGATTGGAGGAGAGCAGCGTGCTCGGCGTGTGGGCAGCAGAGCAGGAATTGGTGGAAGAGGACTATAAAGGAGGAGAGAGACAACATGCACCGGGAATATCTGAAGGAACACCTGAGCAGCCCCTGAGAGAGCTGGCCAGCGGTGTGCCGCTCCTCCACGGAAGCGGGGAAAGCTGCGGGGGTGCTGCCCCTCCGCGGAGGTGGGGGGGCTGGCAGCTAACCCGGCATGGCGTCATTCCTCCGCAAGTGAGGGAACAGCAGCAAACCCAGAAAGGGCCAGACAAAAGGAACAGTGCAGGGTCCGGTGTCGTTCCTCCGCGAATGGGGGAGCGACAAGAGAGAGACAGAGAGAAAGGTCTTCCTTTTTTTCTGTTGGTTCACCCCCCAAGTGGCTGCATTGCGGCCAGTGCACTGCGCCGATCCGAAGCCAGGAGCCAGGTGTTTCCTCCTGGTCTCCCATGCAGGTGCAAGGCCCAAGGACCTGGGCCATCCTCCACTGTACTCCCGGGCCACAGCAGAGAGCTGGACTGGAAGAGGAGCAACTGGGACAGAATCCGGCACCCCAACTGGGACTAGAACCCGGAGTGCCGGTGCTGCAGGCAGAGAGGATTAGCCTAGTGAGTTGCGAATATCCAAGTACCATAGGAGTGGGTGCATATACTTTTGTTATAATCACGTCTTCTTGTTGAACTGATCCCTTAATCATTATGTGATGCACTTCTTCATTTTTTTAACAGTTTTTATATTAAATTCTGTTTTGTCTGATATTAGGATGGTTATACCTGTTCTTTTGGCTTTCCATTAGCATGGAATACCTTTTTCCATCCTATCAATTTCAGTCTATGTGTATCTTTTTGGTGAGGTATGTTTCTTGTAGGCAGCAGATAGATGGGTCTTGCTTTTTTTTTTTTTTTTTTTTTTGACAGGCAGAGTTAGACAGTGAGAGAGAGACTGAGAGACTTAGAGAAAGGTCTTCCTTCCGTTGGTTCACTCCCCAAATGGCCGCTACTGCCAGTGCGCTGTGCCGATCTGAAGCCAGGAGCCAGGTGCCTCCTCCTGGTCTCCCATGCAGGTGCATGGCCCCAGCACTTAGGCCATCCTCCACTGCACTCCCGGGCCACAGCAGAGAGCTGGACTGGAAGAGGAGAAACCAGGACAGAACCAGTGCCCCAAATGGGACTAGAACCTGGGGTGCCGGTGCCGTAGTTGGAGGATTAGCCTAGTGAGCCACAGCACTGGCCGGGTCTTGCTTTTTAATATATTCAGCTTGTCTTGCTGTTTTAATTGGAGCATTCAGGCCATTTATATTTGTTTACTGTTGGTAAATAACAACATGGCCCTGCCATGTTTCTGTAAATATTCCTATTGTTTGCTTTGGAATACTTTTGTACCTTATCGGGAAATTTTCTGCCTTCACATTCTTTTTTTTTTATTATTGTTATTTATTTATTTTTGACAGGCAGAGTGGACAGTGAGAGAGAGAGACAGAGAGAAAGGTCTTCCTTTTTCCGTTGGTTCACCCCCCAATGGCTGCTGCGGCCGGCGAGCTGCAGCCAGCGCTCTGCGGCCAGCACACCATGCTGATCCGTAGCCATGAGCCAGGTGTTTCTCCTGGTCTCCCCTGTGGGTGCAGGGCCCAAGGACTTGGCCATCCTCCACTGCACTTCCAGGCCATAGCAGAGAGCTGGAATAGAAGAGGAGCAACCGGGACAGAATCTAGCGCCCCGACCGGGACTAGAACTCAGGGTGCCGGTGCCGCAGGTGGAGAATTAGCCTATTGAGCTGCGGTGCTGGCCTTCATGTTCTTTTATAATGATGACTGTCTTTCTCTATTTCTGTGTGTAGCACAGCCTTAAGCATAATTTGAAAGACTGGATGAATGATGACAAATTCTTTAAATTTCTGTTTGTTATGGAAGGTTCTTATTTCACAGTCATTCATAAATGAGAGTTTTGCAGGATATATTTTCTGGGTTGACAGTTTTTTCCTGTAAGACTATGACTCTGCCCCTCCTATCTCTCCTATCTTGTAGGGTTTCTGATGATAACTCAGCTTTGAAGCCATTTGGAGATCCTCTGAAAGAAATCTGGCATTTGATACACATTTTATAAGCTTTTCTTTATGTTTTGCTGTTGAAGTTTGACTACAATGTGTCATAGTGGAGACTTTTTCTGGTCATGTCCATTAGGAGCTCTGTGTACTTCCTGTACTTGGTTGTCCCTTTCTTTCTCCACATTAGGAAGGTTTTCTGTTACTATTTAATTGAGGAAGTCCTCTAATGCATTCTGTCTTTCCATAACTTCAGGAACTCCTATGACACACATGTTGTGTCATTTGATAGTATCCCATAAAGTTTGAACCTTGTTTTTAATTTTTCTAATGTCTTTTTGTTATTTTCTGAGTTATTCCCAAAGATTTGTCTTGTAATTTAGATAATCTTTCATCTTCCTCACCTAGTTTATTGTTAAGGCTTTCCACTGAATTTTTATTTGACAAATTGAATTCATTCTTCATTTCTATAATTTCAGTTTGATTTCTTTTCAAAATCTCCATCTAACAGGAAAATTATTCATCCATGTCATGTATGGACTTCTGTAACTCATGAATTTGCTTCTCATTGCTTCTGAGTAATCTGTGATCGTTCCTTTGAGTTCTATTTCAAGCATTTCTGCAATATGTCTTCACATTCTGTTATTGAAGTATTACATTCCTTTGGGGGAGTCATGTTTTCTTCCTTATTCTTATTTCATTGTTTTCTGTAATTATTTTTAGGCAGTTATGGAAATAGTTGTTGGATTTCTTCTCTGTTGGATTGTGTCATTGAACTGTGCCTCTGTGGCTTACTGGAGTGTCTACTCTCTCATAAATACTTAGAGACGTGTGCTGTGTGTGGCCATCGAGCTCTCGTCAGTATTCAGGTTTAGCGTGCAAAGCCAGTGACACTCAAGTTGGTCACGGTAGAGCTCCTGTATTGTCAGCAGGGGAGAAAGTAGTACGATCTTGCCTTTTGGAGTAATCACAACCTCATTTTTTCTTTCAAGGGGATCAGTGCCCAGGGTTAGCACAGATTGGATACAGCCTCTATCCACGCTGGCACATGAACCACACGAAAGATCTTTGTGGTCCTTTATGTGAGCAAGTTGTCTGCAATGATCTACCCCAGGCCGTCAAGGAGCACTGAGCCACTGACAGCAGATACAGAGATGGCCCAGAGATCCAGCTACACCCCGAACCCTATCACTCAGTCATGGATTTCTCGCAGTCAGAGCACACAAGGTTCCCACACTCATGAGGTTCAGAAGATTCCACTCGACCTCATGAGCCTGCCCCATCCAAGGAGACAGCAGAGATACTCCCCGAGTCAGCAGCCTGTGGGTGCTCTGCTTTGGCATTTTGAGCTCAAGATTGCTGAAGAATACTAAAAATAAATATACTATATGATTGAGTTAACCCATTTTTATTATTATGTCTTCAGTTGTTTATTATTTGTGCCTCCTTATGCAGCATAAAATGAGTACTTTGTTATATATTTTAAGAGTTTTTCCTAATTTGTGACCTCTTAACAGTTAGTAAATAAACAGAAATTATTATTCTTAATGTAGAATCAGACTACCACTGATTAAAAACTCTGCACCTGTCCAGGGTGAAGCTAATTTCTAAAAGCTTTATGTTTTGGGGCCAGTGCTGTGGCGCAACAGGTTAAAGCCCTAGCCTGAAGCGCCAGCATCTCATATGGGCACCAGTTCTAGTCCCGGCTGCTCCTCTTCTGATCTAGCTCTCTGCTATGGCCTAGGAAAGCAGTAGAAGATGGTCCAAGTCCTGTGCCCCTGCACCGACGTGGGACACCCGGAGGAAGCTTCTGGCTCCTGCCTTCAGATTAGCGCAGCTCAAGCTATCGTGACCATTTGGGGAGTGAACCAGCAGATGGAAGACCTCTCTCTCTGTCTCTACCTCCCTCTGTAACTCTGTCTTTCAAATAAATAAAATAAATCTCAAAAAAAAGCTTTATGTTTTATCTTCTACATTTAGAGATCTAATCTACCCAAGATTGATTTTAATATATTATATGAAGAAATGGAAATTTTTTTTATTTCCTCATGAAGTCCACTTAACACATTATTTATATAAAAACATCCTTTATCTGATATTTGTGTTGTCTTTGCTTTTAGACTATAGCAAAACTGAGGTGCACTGGATAGGTTTCTTCCGCCTAGATGTGCCGTGAAATCCAGTTTTTGTTCTCAGGGCTCGTGAAATGATTTGAAGCTCTCAGCTTCAATACTTTTATGTTGTATAACTGTAATTTGGGGATTCTCACCTGCTCCAGGGTAAAATTGATGTCAGTCTGTACTGACCTCTCTGGACCTCTGTTCTTTGAATCTCTCACAATTTCTTTGTAATTTGCCAGTGGTGTGATTGCTTCAGACTGATCAGTTTTGCATAATTTGACTGACTAGTTGTTCTAAGCAATAGTTTGGGTTATAAAGAACCTGATCTTCCATTGTTAGAAGAAAATCAGTATGAGCAATTATAGTTTTGAAAACTGTATCCCATAGAATTCACAACTTGAATCCTCGACTTTCCCCAGCATTTCTCTGATTTTCCCTAAATTATGAGTCTTAAGAGAGGTTAAAAACATTTAATAGAATTTAATGTATTACATAAGATGAGTTCATATGATTACATTTATTACTAATGCTGTAGTGTTATGAAAAATATGACTGTTTTAAAATAATAGTTCCATAGTATACTTATAGAGGATTTATTATTTAGAAATTAATGCATTAATAATAAGTATTAATAATAAAAATTAACCTATTTAAAGACTTCAGAGAACTGTTCCTTTATTTTGCCTAAAAGGAATGTTATTTCAGTCCATGCTGTACAGCTCCCTGCAATTCTGTGTAATACTTAAATGTACAATGACATTGGAAGAAACATTAGAAAGCAGAAGTGTTAGTACTGTGACAAGTTAATAAAATTTACGTTTATATACTATCCTTCTCTCAGCTCTCCATATCAGTATTGCTCATTATGCTGTCTTAGAGTATAAAACCTCTCTCCTCTTCTTAATTTCAGTAATTTATTTTAAATATATGAGGTTATACTCTTGAAAATAAGAGCAAAATAAATTATTAGTTATAAGTGAATTCCACTTGAGCCAAGAAAAATCCAGTGCATTCAGCATGAGATCAAATATAGGCAAAAGAGTTAAAAAGCAAACATGATAAACAAAGAATTTAACTCTATTATAATGACCTTTAATGTGATCTCCATGAAAATTAGCTTCCTTGGACTTTGGTTCTATTCCTGTTAGTCTTGCAGGCTCCTTGCAAATGGTGCTTGATTCTTGGAGGGACTCTGTGAGGTCCATACTATCATTGTCTTCACTTTGCCAACAAGGATGTTTATAAATGGAAGGATTACCTAGTATAACCATGGATATGCGGCCAAAGTGAAGGCTGGATAATTATGCAGGACACATTATACCAGAATTAACTCTTTGGGACAAGGTTGGGGGCTGGTAGCTTACTAAAGAAAACACTACAAAGATAGCATAATAATAGAGGCCAAATATTTTGCTTTGATGTAACAAAGATTTTGATAAAATACTATTCATAATTTATTACTAAGAAAATGTAAAGAAGAGCTATATGTTAAAATATCAGATATGAAAATTCAACATAGTCATGGATAAAATGAAAAAAGGGCAACTGTGCAACAAGAAATTTAATGCCTAAATTATTTTCTATGTTGCCACTCCTTAAAACTCTTTTGTTTTAATGTATTTTTTATCTTTTTGCAAATCTGGCCTTCAGATTCCAATTTATAAACAAACTAGGATTAGAGAACAAATTCTGTTTAGAGCCAGAGATTAAGACTTGAATCTCATAATGAATTCTCATAGTGAACCACAAAATTCAAAGACATAGTTGAGATAATAAAGCTCCAAATGTAAAATTGTTCCCAGAAATAACTTACTTTAAAACTTCTTGCTGAAAGCCATATTACAGATATATGAAATATTGGGCAGATAAAGCATGATAATATTTGGAGTAAGTCTAACCCTCAGACATAATGAAATTAAAATTACTTAAACCTGTAAAGTCCAAGATGGAAAGAATCTGGCTTTAGGTCCAGGAGTCATTAGAATTTACAAATGCGAGATCTTGGATTGTGGCCGTAGCTTCCAATGACTCCAAATAGGAAGAAAAGTTGCCTTTTATATTCTGCTGTAAATAATTTGAGATTGAAAGTATTTCACTAGATGTAATATCAAATGTTGCTATCGTTAAAGTTAATCCACAAATGCCAGTGTCTATGTCACTAGGAGAGGAGGAAAGAAGTTGGCAACAGAGCTGTCCTTCAGCTGTCAGTTGAAATTCAGGAGGACACGGCGTTTCTCTCATCCTTGCATTTGCTTAGTCCAGAATTGGCCAAATTAAACTGTTGACTAGATAAAGAAATTGTGGTATAAATACACTATATATGTACACTCAGCCATAAAAAAAATAAAATCCTGTCTTTTGCAATAAAATGGATGCAGCTGGAAACCATCATACTTAGTGAAGTAAGCCAATCCCACAGAGACAGATGTCATGATTTCCCTGATCTGGGGTAACTAATAGAGTACCTAAAATAGAATGTATAGGAATGAACTGGACATTGTGAGATTCTGTGACTGTTTACAGCCCTTGTCTCTTCCATTGAAGAACAGTTTATTTTTTTCTTCATATTATTTTACTATTTGTTGAACTCTTTCCTTAGTGTAGAGTTAACCTTATGATCATTAAGTAAACTGAAAATAGATCTTTGTAAAAATTAAAAGAGGGAATCAGAGAGGAATGAGGAGAAAGGACTGGGGCATGGGCAAGAGGGAGGATAGGATGGGAAGTATCACTGTCTTCCTGAGTTTGTATATATGAAATACATGGAAGTTTTGTAACTTAAATAAAATCTTAGAACAAGAAGTTCAAATGAAGTCAGAGAAACTTACCCAAGTGTGTGTTCAAAAGGAATAAGACTAAGAGAGTATAACCTTATATGAAAATAATTTCTGAAGTGGAGAGCTCCATAGGCTCTTGGCTGGTGAACCCTGAAATGAGGTAGGACGGTGATTTCCCAGTTTCCTGGATGGGGAGTTAAATAGGGTCTTGGAAAAATTATCATAAAACATTATCCCTCCTAACAAGGGCCTAATTGGCCAAGTAAACCATCATAAAATTTCTTTGCATTGAGCACAGGGACGTAACATGTTTAAGCCATTAAAATATTGTGTCTAATTGTACTGAAAGAGCTATTATTTTCTAAACATGTTTGAGTTATGAAGAAACCGAAATATCTGCATATTAGCTTAAATATTCCAGAATTCCTTGTAAAGCTAGCTTTTGATGGATCACTATATGCTGCCAGTAATAATGCTGCCAGTAATAGCTTATCTCTGGAATACTCTACAATATGTCGTTTAAAATTTTCTAGCAATTACTATGACTTAGGTCTCGTAGAATCTCAATCAGGAGACATCTAACTTCTGAAAATACATAGACAGCAAGTATTTTAGGTTTTGTTGACCTGAAATCCTCTGTCACAACTACTTAACTGTGCCACCAAAGCACAAAGTAAGTCATAGGCAGTAATAAATGTGTGGTCCAACAAAATTTTGCTTACAAAAACTGGTGGCAAGCCAGATTTCGCCTCTGAACCATAATTGGCCAACATTAAGCTAGATCATGTTGTAAAAATAAATATACATAAAACTTATTGTTCAGTATGGTGAGTGAGTTTTAAAAGCCCTAAATTCCTTTGTTTGATTGCTGTTACATTCACTGACATCTTCAATTTGCTTTCAGATTTTTTTTCAGTAACACATTACTGAGGTAATTACTGTAATTACTTAAAGGCTGTTAAAATTGGAATCTACATCTAATGCTAGTTGTCTTGAGTGATAAATGGCACTTTTATAAAAATAAGAAAATTTTAAAAGGAAGTTCTAGATAATATTTTTTTTTATTTTGTGTTTAATGATTAGTTTTTTTTTTTTTTTTTTTTTTGACAGAGTGGACAGTGAGAGAGAGAGACAGAGAGAAAGGTCTTCCTTTGCCGTTGGTTCACCCTCCAATGGCCGCCGCGGCCGGTGCGCTCGGCCGGTGCACCGCGCTGATACGATGGCAGGAGCCAGGTACTTCTCCTGGTCTCCCATGGGGTGCAGGGCCCAAGTACTTGGGCCATCCTCCACTGTACTCCCTGGCCACGGCAGAGAGCTGGCCTGGAAGAGGGGCAACCAGGACAGAATCCGGCGCCCCGACCGGGACTAGAACCCGGTGTGCCGGCGCCACAAGGCGGAGGATTAGCCTAGTGAGCCACGGTGCCGGCGATAGATAATATCTTGATTGTTTGCCTTTATGTATTGGGAGAAAATCCTCCATGTGCCTTGCATTTCTGCACATCTTGCAATCAAAAACATTGACAGGTTTTACCCACATTATATTTTCAATATGTTATTATAGTGAACAGCCTCAAGAGGACAGAGCGCATGTTTGTTTGCTCTTGTATAGTAATGATAATATCTTTGTATGAGTTAAAGGTTGCTTTGGTTTGCTGAAGCCATTATAAAAGATTCAGCTTCCCTAAACTCTTGTGTTCCTCAGCTGTGACATTATAAATCCCCCTCATTGCTGTAGGACTAGGGGAACATGAATCTTACCTTGTTACAGGGCTATAAGCAATGAAGTTCTTTTTCTCTGATCTTGGAATCTTACATGTCCCACCAGCATTCATTTGAAATCATTGTAGGCAAACTTGTTAACTTGCAAGTGAAGTTAAAACTTAAGAACTTTCACAGTTCCTGAGCATCTGTCTTGTTCTTTTCATCATCCTTATTTCTTTGGGGAATAAGTGCTCTCTAAGTTATCTAGAGTTCTGTATTTTATATAACCCTCTGGTGAAATTTTAAAGTTAAATTTATTTCCTTAACTTGGTGCTACTGCATACTTATAAGAGAACATGAAATTTTGGCATATTTGGATCAAAGTAGAGACAATTTTTATTTAAAGTAAAACTTGTTCTTGGATTTCTTTGAGAATAAAGCCTTCTACTTTGTTTTTATTTTTGTTTTTTTTTTTTTCCCTTTCCAATTAAGTTCATTCTCTAATAACCTCCACTAATAAGGTCTTTGTGTGATCTGGCTAATTTATAAGATCATCTTGAAGTTAAAAATTTAAACAAGTGGGGGTAAAGGACAAGGTGTTTTAAAACTGGATCCTCTGTGAGAAATACTACAAGGTAGTGTACCACTTCAGATTATTCAAACACATTGTTTAGCCCGCTCTGTCCTAATTTTAAAATAGGAATACAGGAATTTAGGGTAAGAAATATTCATTTTGCCAGAACAAATGCAAATTTATCTGGAGTTTTGACTTTTGCAACTGTTAGGCAAAAATGCAGGTGAAGCTGCTGTTACAGGCAGCAGTGCCAGACCAGGATTCTATCAACTGGAGAGAGTACAAACCTACATTTTCAAGAATCTTGTAAAATGGTTGTTAAATCATATATACCTTGAAATGAGGTATGATGAAATATTTACACCACAGAGGTAAGAGAACATTACCAACTACAAATTTTTATCCTTAAGGGTTGATTTCCCAGCACAAAACATATGCTGTAATTAGTAACACACTTCTGCCCCTTGACTCCTGTCTTAATTTTACAT